TCGTCAATGTCGGCGGGCTTGTGATTCGATGACTCTCAACTAATAAGAGCCATTGTGAGCAGAGGTGTTGCGAATGAAATCTCGGCAAAACAATAGCGAGAGTCTTCATTTTGTGCCTTCTTTTTGGCATGTAAGTCTCCTCAATTGTGAGATCTCTCTTGTACTTGCGAGGAGGATGATGAGAGATATTCCTCAAACTTGGTTTGTCGAATTCGTATTCGACCATGGATTCAACTGGAATCTTGATCCGGCTCGACACGACGGTCTCGGCAGCGAGACCGTTGGCTCCCACTGTGGTCGCCAGTTTGTTTTCGCCAAAAGTGGAATGTTGTCGAATTCATTATATCTTCGGTCGATTATAATAAATTCAAAGAAAACAGCCTGTTTTATAAGACTCTTTTACACAACAAAGAAAATTATAACCTGAGAAAATAAAGCGCAGGATCGTTGTTTGGATCACTGCTTTCGTGGGATCTTGCCTGTGCCGGAGCGCTTTGACTCGTGGACCACCAAGTCAGATTCTGATTGAACCGTGAGGGGTTTATGATTCTGACTTCGTTTATCGAAGTGAGAAATTTGAAACGATATCTTATCGATGTAAGATAGTCGTTCTTCTTGAAATCAAGTCAAGCTTATTTCAAGATTGGCCGTTAAGATCAGCACCTCTGCTCTCTCTCTGCTCTGATTGCCTGGCATTGCTCTGAAGTACTACACAATCCTCCGCCTCTGGAAAAATGGCCTTAGGAGGGATTTATAACCTCCAAGAACAGTTGGCAGAAAACAGGTTTCGCGAGACAGCTTTTGCTGTCTCGACGGCGAGACAGTGGTTGCCTGTCTCGGGCCCGCGAGACAGTAAACACTGTCTCGGCCCGCGAGACAGTAAACACTGTCTCGCCGAACAGTAACGCAGGCAGTTTTCATACTTAACTGTCTTCCCACGTTTCAAACTCCGTTATTTTGGCAGTTATCCACGTGATTCTCCCCACCGACGTTTCCCACGTTCTTGAACGTTAGTGGCCATTGTGTAGGGCAGTTGTAAAGGTAGTTTTGACCATCTGAAAGCTGTCTCACGTGCGAGACAGAAATCTGTCTCGCACGGCGAGACAGCAAAGACTGGTCTCGCGTGGGCGAGACAGCAAAGACTGTCTCGCGTGGGCGAGACAGTAAAAGTCTGTCTCGCCCGCGGAGACAGTTAAGACTGTCTCGCCGGCCGAGACAGTAAGACTGTCTCGCAACGGCGAGACAGTAAAGACTGTCTCGCACGGCGCAGACAGTCAGTCTGTCTCGCGGGCGAGACAGTAAAGACTTGTGTTTTTTTTTTTGATGATTTCCTCTTGAGCTGTATTTGGATATCCTTCAGCATTTTTGACGCCTACACACATAACATATAATATTGTTATTGTCAAAATAAACTAATCTTTGGTCAAGATTCCTACATATAAAGTTAGCATGATGTAATTTGGTTTATGCTACTACGATAAGAATATATTAATGATAAATAACTCGACATAATTACATATATTATCACAATGCCTTGGAAATATTCCGAGTATATGCAGGTTTATCTTAGCACTTTAGGATCCCTAATGATTAAACAACATCCTGAAAATTAAATTGATGATACAAGCTAATTGAAGCAAGCAAACTACACCTCATATATGCCCTTACATGTGATATTTTCACTCCACCAACCAAGCTTGAAACTAAAGTACTAACTCTAACACAAATATAAATTAAATAATCTAAGAGAGGGGTTTTACTTATAAGCAATATAGCAAAGTATCAATAAAAGGTTTATATTTCCTTTCCTAGAAACAAATGAATGAAATCATGACTAAATACATAAATGCCTTCGGCCACTACAATTTTGTACCACTCAAACATAAGTTGATCTCCGTTGTTCTTTTCTTTCTCTAAACAATTTATTAAATATAATATTGCCTAAAATCCATAATAAGGAGCCCTTTGAAGATTTGGAATGCAAGTACTTTATGGGGATGCATATATACCATCTGTTGGAAGCAAAACTGGATAGTACATAAAAAAAACTGCATATATATATATATATTTATATATATTATATATATATATAATATATATATATAATATATATATATATATATATATTATATATATATATATATATATATTATAATATATGAGAAAAATGAGTATGCTTGGTACCAGCACAAATTTGCTGCGTGTAGTGATGTGTCACATCCTCATCCACTCAATACTCATGTGAATGTTGTTCATATTTGAATGAGTGGATGGGGATGTGACACATCACTACAAGCACAACTTTTTGTGCTTGGTACCAGCATACCATATTGCTCTAATATATATATATATGAGGAATATTGTGTTACTTGGGCAAGGATCCTGTGAAGTGATGTGGACACATCTTGTGCATACATCAACCTTGAAGTTGTGAGGCTCCATCTTCAAGGTTGATGTATGGACAAGATGTGTCCACATCACTACAAGGATCCTTAGTACCAAGTATACCCATTTTCTTATATATATATATATATATATATTATTATTATATATATAATATATATATATTATATATATATATATATATATATAATATTATATAAATATATATTATATAATAAAAATTGAAGTGAGAAGATTTTCATTTTATGAGAACAATATTTAATTTCATCTACTCTTAATTGGTCATTCTCAATCCTCCACAAATAGTTATAATGCGGTAACTTATATTGGCAATTCAAAGCTATAAAAATCCATTTAAACAAACAAACTAACAATCAACCATGTATCTTAGAAACTTTCAACTACTCAACATACATAAACCTTAGATGTTCTTCACATCAATAACTTTTGTTTACTAAAATGGGAAAAATAAAAAGTTAATTTACCTTGATAGATGGATTCTCCCACCAACCTCAAATCCCTAAGATCAAAATAAAAATAAAGGGGAAATTTTACAATATTACTTATAATTAGAACTAATTGCCATGCATAATCGAAGAACTACATAAGCAATAAGAAACAAGAAACATAATTACTAAATCTAAAATATTTACCTACAAAATAAAACATTCCACATAAACTTAAGCATGCGACTTTCTTCATGATTAATGAGACGTGCTAATTTCCTTCTCCATTATGCATGCTTTCTAAAACATTATGATTTTTCTATTCACCCTCCATTTGCTACCTTTAAGGGTATTTATTGACTGAAAAATAAAAGCCATGACATAAGTCCACCAAAATCAGTAATCACCTGTGATCAATAATATTTCTGTAGAAAGTATCCTTTATAAAGTAAAAACTAATTGTAAAGGATAGCTATAGTAAAAAATCAACAAAAGCTAGAAAAGAAAGCCATGACTTCTTAGAAAAACTGTTAGATGAAACTTTAAAGAAAATGTATTGTATAGTAAGATGCCAAAACAGAAAGGCATATATCTGAAAGGTATATTCATGAGCCTTATCATTTTACTAGGATTTCCAATTGTTTGACATCTTCTACATAGTTAAATTTCCAACTAAACTATTTTGAAAATACATTGAAAGTTCTAGCTTCAAGACTTAGGTCACACACCGAAACTAAAGAATTATGCTAACAAAACAATTGTCTAGATACACAATTGTTCATCACACATCTAAACATTAATGTACGTGAATGAACAATTCACGAAGTAGCAAAAGATTGTGCACTCTGCTCGTCATCCCACTTTTCATTCTTAAGAAACCACTGCATCTGCTTTGTGTATCTGAATTAAACAAAACCAGATATTAGATGAACAAATATACTTCGGATATATATACTCTCACAGCTGTAAATGTTGTCATGTAGAGAGGTGAGCTGAAATGCAATGTTCCCATGTATTCTAAAAGAAAAATTAAATATATCTAATATATCACTTGGGCAAAAACATGAAAAAACTGTAGATTAAAGTAAAGTTCAAGTCTAAAACAAGTGCCAAACAAAAAGTCATGACTCAAAATTGATGTATGTATCAAGGTGAATGGTGAGAGTAGGTATCCGCATGATTGGCTCCTCGATTCTAACAAGTCTTTGGGAGTAGGATACTACATCTTCCTTCACTTATTTTACAATCACCCTTCCAGCAACTGCCAAGTCCCGATCGAATCAAGTGTGCCACAAACCACCACCGTATGTCTGCATTCCAACTTCAAGATAACATCCTTAACCTAAAGAAACAATGATGATTAGTTTCATCCAGATATCTTCCTTTCAATATTATTTTCTTAATATGGACATTTAATCAATGCTTTTAGAATTAGGGCTTGCAAACAAATGCACAAATTAGATTAAGCGCCATTAAAATTATTCAATCCTACCAGTTTTGGTATGTATTGAAGAGAGACACTTAACAAAGACCATCCCTTTATCAAAGCTCATAGAGTATAAAATTCCCATGTGGTTACGAATTTAAAACGGATTAAAAAGATACAGCTGTATGAGTCAAAGTTTTGGCCCATGAAAAGGGCTCCAACCTACAGAGGATATTGAGTGTAAACTATCCATAAAACCTCCCCACGACTTGGAGCTTTGATGCAGTGGAAGGTACCTTTAACAAAAGCAAGTGATCTGAAAGTAAATTGCTTGAACCAAAATTTTGTTTATTTTTCCCCCTGATTCCTTTGCTATTTTTTGTCTAGCGCATATACTTTACTAAATCATGTGACGCTGTCCAAATGACTGCATATTACACTCAAATGTCCAACAAATAAAACTTCTAATGTATTGTCAACTTTATAGTCTGCTTTTATCTTAATTTTCCATAATAAAGACACTGCCCAACTTAGCCATCTTTCTTTCTGCCTTATTTTTCCTAGCAATTAAATCATAACATTTTCCTTTCAAACATTAAAAATATTAGATATAGATATTTGTGCAAACAAACATGCCCTCAAGTGCTATGAACTGAGGGTTGTTAGTTGCAATAGAAAAGCATGTTCGAGGTGTTATATACAATTTACTAAACAAAACTCGAATCCTAGGGAGCGCGAGCAAGAGCTTTCCCGTTTCTAGGGTTTTTGGCGATCGAGAAAACGAGGAGATATGTGCGGTATCGCTTTGGTGCTTTCAGGAGTTCGGATCCTAGGATCCGATCTCCATAGCGAACCCAATGGCGGAGCTTCACATCCGACTGCTCAACAGGTCCTCTCACTCTCTCTCGAATTGGAATTCTTGATTCTTATGAGTTTTAGGTTTTGTTCTGGTAGAGTTTTAGTTGATCGATATTGCTTAGATGCGTACAAGTGCTAATTGTTCAGCAAAATGTTCAAACATTTGAAGTAGAAATCATCGCAGAGTAGGATAAAAAAGAGAACTTTGAGAGCACAGTTGAGAGAAATCATACTTGGAGAAGCTACTTCAAGTTCGATGTTGCACCTACAATCAAATTTGTCAGAAATTATTAGATGATGAGCAATCTAATACTCTGCTTCAGTCTCGGACTGGGATATGAGCCTATATTCTTGATTCTTAAGAGTTTTAGGGTTTACATGTCGTAGGTGTTGACTTGAAAGAAATTGTTTAAATTCAGAAAGGTCCAAAATTTTCAGCGAAAAGGTCAGACCTTTTAAGTTGAAATAATAGAAAGGAGGATGAAAGGGGTAGCTTCAAGAGCATAGTCAGGGAAAACCATAGTTGGAGAGACTACATTAAGTTTGATTTGACATAACATCCAACATAAATTTCATTGCAAATTCTTAACTGTAATTGCTGTAATGATTTATTGTGAGCATTATATTAAAAAAACGCACATACACTATACAGCAACTCCTAGTGAGATCTTCAATTTTTTTTTAATATAGTGTAATTGTCGTTTTTTTCCTGAGAGAAAACTACTGGAAATAGGTTGACAATTTTGTCGATTAAGAGAATATTGCTACTGTGACTGAGAAGAGGTAGAATAGGGTCCTAGTTTTACCTGTTTACTGTGGTTGAAACTACAGTTGCAGTGGCTAGATAATGCATAAGATCACTCTTTTTTTAAAGATTTTGTCAAACCTGAATTTTGGACTGGCTTGGTTTGGCCTAGTTCCTGTTATGAATGGATTTTTGCTTACAACTTAAAGTAAATTGTTGCTCCATGTAGAGCTTCAGAAAGCCAAAATTTTGTTTTGTATGTGACTGTAGCTATGGCTTGAATGGGCTTATATTGTGATTTGTGAGTTTATCAAATTTAGGAAAGTTAAGTAATGCTGACATAAATCTTTCGCTTTGACCTTTTTGAGAAACTAAAATTTTGCAGGTGGATGAACCGGTTCTATTACTAGATGATCTCAAAGCTTCCCTGCTAAGAAGAGGTCCTGATAGCATCGGTTCGAGAAAGATTCTGCTTCATCTAAAATGCAACAAATCTGATGGAAATGACGGTAACATTCTCACTTCTCATTTAAACAAATTATTTATTTGTTCTGATGCTTGTTGCTATTTATTCTTGTGTTCGATAGCCAATATTCAGATTTGATAGAAGTATCTCAGTTAACATAAATGATACAGATGAAAGAGGAGATAAGGAAGAAGATTTATGGTTGCAGGCTAAAGACAATTCAATGGAGTGCATTGTTTCTTCAGTAGAACCTTGCGCTACACAAGATGTTCGAAATCAACAAATGCCATCTGATGCAGAAATTGAGCTCGTTGGGGCCACATTACAACTTAGGGGAATACGCCGTGTATTCCAACCTTTGGAGGATGTTTCTAGAAATCTTCTTGTTTACAATGGTAATTTCTTTTATCCAATGTGATAAGAATTTTGTTATAGCTGTGAACTGGAATATTCTACATAATTTTACATGGTACGTAATTCCTTCCATTTGCCCTTTTTCTGCCTATCTCTTTTGATGATTTTGATCCCCCCCCCCTCTGAATTATGAAGTTCCTTCTTGCATATTGAATCATCCTCTATATTATACCATCACTTTGTCCCTAGTATCATTTCTTTGGGACTTAATTTTGGTCCTTTTTGAGATAGCCCCCCAAGTTTTAGAAATGTTACCTAAGCCCCTTAAGTTTGGTCACATAACCCCGCTAACTAACTCAATTAGATCTGACCCTGCACTTGAAAATCATGTGCGTCTAAATGATCAAAATGCCCATGATGGAAGAGACCCCTTCCAGATCCTTTTTAATAATTTTAAAGGTAACTTTGTCACAAATATGATTAGGATTAGATTAGAGATATAATTAATTTAAGTAATGATTTTTAGTTTAAATTAATTTAATAATGAGATTGTTAATTGTGTTTTAGTCATTTTTTCATTTCATCTAACACTGTTGAGGGATTATTTGAAAAAATTGAAAATGTTTGGGGGTTTTCTATAGCACTCCAGATTTGTGGGGGGTTAAGTTATATTTTAATGTTTAGGGGGGTTATCTCAAAATCAGCCAAACTTAAAGGGGATTTGTGAAATTTATCCTTTTAATCTCAGTCTTGTAAGCCAACATCTCAAGCATCATAGGAGTCTTTTGGTCCCTGGAAGTTAAAATGCTGCAACAAGTAAACAATGTAATGCGGCAAGGTTTTTATCTTTTTTGGATGGAAATACAAATACTGAGCATTTCTGTATATGTGGAATTAAGCAAAGTTCTCATAATAATAATGAATGCAAGAAGTTCATACTCTAGCACTACACCATGTGTTAAGAACTGGAAGTTGGTGTATATGGCTTGTTAAACTTCTTTCATCTTAAGGAATCATCGATTGTTAGGTTTGTGCTGTATAATTCTGTGCAGAGGAGCTTTGCTGGAATTGGAGATAAGAGTTGGTCTTTTTTCGCATTGTGTTACTGATAGTTTGAGCAGTTTCTAACAAGTTGCTTGAAATATTCTCTTCGATAATTCATGTGGCATTTATCATTGTGAAAATATTATCTGAAGGTGAAATATTTGGGGGGATTCATGTCGCCGACCGCTTTAATGATGGTCAAGCTCTTTTGGATGAATTGGGAAACTGTTGTTCCTGTGGATTTCATGAAGTCGATCCGCTTGAAAGATTTTTCTGTTGCAATGCCAAAGGGAAGAAGTCTGTTCCAGAGATTCTTTCAACCATAAGAGGCCCATGGGCTTTAATATACTGGCAGGTACTTCAGTTATCTTCTATTATCATTTTCTAGATACAATCTTACTGCATAATCTGAGATATTTCTGTCTCTGCATTAAAATCTTTAACCTTTAGGAAGAGTCAAATACCATATGGTTTGGTCGAGATGCATTCGGAAGACGAAGCTTGCTTGTTCATTGGCCAACATTTGATGACTCAAGATTTGTTCTCTCTTCTGTATCAGCGCTTTCTTCAGTCAGGAATGATTCTGGTATAGAATTGAACTTGAACATTTTAACTTCTTTCCGTTGGTTTTTCACTTTTGCTGCAACTCTAACATGTTCAGAGAAAATTTTCCATCGTTCATAAATAACTTTGTGGCAGTTATTGAAATGCAGATATCATTTCAGAAAAAAAAAAGAAAAAGAAAAAGAAAAAAAAGAGAAAGAAAGAAAAATGAAAGAAAAATTTACTTCATAATATCAATGATTAGGTAGAAATCCATTTGGAAGCGGAAACTTTGGTTCTTTGGCAACCATTTGCTGATTCATTATCGGTTATCTTGTGTACTTCCATCTTTATTGAATATCTAAGGCGGTATTCATGTCAAATTGGTTGAAATCAAATATATTATTTTGGATTTGTTATTCTGTAATCAAGTATACTATCATTCATTTGGAGGAATCTTACTTTAGTTCTGATCCAGCACCAGCAGTTCTTTGAATTAATAATAAAAGGAAGATATTTTATTTCCTAGTTTTTAATCATGGATTCTATTGGTCAGATAGATTATGCATACAGGAGGGTCAGTATGGTAAAAGGGCAAATAGTTTACTGAAGCAATTTCATATATTTGCTAATTATAAATATCCCAATACTCTAGGAAGAGAGATCTTTTATTGAACGCTATAAATAAGTATGAGCAATTTTGAACTGGTGGAGACATGGGGGAGATGATGCTTGTTATCTCCTTTTCTTTCTTTGTACTCAGTTCAAATTTGTTCAAAGTGAGACATGAATCAACTTTGGTCTAGGATTTACATTGTAAACTATAGTTTGTTAGGTGTAAACTGAGTGAGGTTTAATTCAATGAGCTTATCTCCTATGTTACATGATACGGGTGTGAGTGGGAATACAGGACACATCAAATTTGTAAAAGGTTGGATAGGGGACACAACTATATATATATACAGACACATATATAGATATGTATGTATGTATGTATGAGGAATATGAGTATGCTTGGTAGCAAGCACAAACTTGACACTTGGTAGTGATGTGGCTCATTCCCGTCCACTTATTTAAGGGGAGGACCACATTCACATAGGTGCACATGAGTTAAATAATTAAAGGGTGATTATTTTCAAGTGGGGATCATTTCAATGAGTGGCTCATTCTCATCCATGCTTCTCTCTCTCTCTCTCTCCCTCTAACTATATATATATTATATATATACATATATATATATATACACACACACACATACATACATACATATACATATACTTGGTACCAAGCATATTCATTCTTCTCTCTCTCTCTCTCTCTCTCTCCCTATATATATATTTAAATTAATAAATCAACACAATATGGATTTTGTTTTTTTCATAAATGATATGAAAACTAAAATTTCTATAACATTTTTATGTTTCATTGTTAAGTAGACTACTCATTGGGAATCTGCTACTTTTTTTAACTAGATATACAAGCAATTCCTTAAAATTGTACTTCTAAATTGGGTATAGGCTGAAACGAACCCGACCCATGTCAAGCAAGTTGCAGGTTTTGGATGTGAAGTGTATACACATCCAAGAAGTGTATGACAAGTTTTTAAAAAAAAAATTAAAACATGTATTAGATAATTGAGTATATGTCTTAATAAATGTATGCATGTCCAAGGTGTGTCCAAGAAGTGTTGGAGTTGGACACGTGTTGGGTAACCTAGCTTATATCAATGTGGTTAGAAATATTATCATTTATTTTGGACCTGTCTTAGTCCTTGTTTTCCTATTTTAGGTTGTCGTGGCTGGAGTTATACTGGTTGAATTCTGTTTATCCCTGCTAGTATTAAGCAAACTAGAAGAATTGATTTTACATTATTCTGATACGTAATTTCTGCTATGCTGCAAGTTTACTAGATTACAACTTGGAATGTTATTACTTACTACTTACTAGTATATCACAACCTGGTGCCTATTACCGATGGTCAAGTTGGCGGTCGTCCTCTTTGGACCTTGAAGGGCTTACTGGAAGTTATTTTGATAGAAAGAAGATAAAGGAATTTTTTTTCATAACTCCAAGCGAGAACATATAACTAGGGAGAAAGAGGGGTCATGGGGGAGACAACTAAGAAAATAAAGGGAGGGATCTGGATTGGCTAGGAGTCTCCAAAAAAGAAAGGTGGAATAAGTGAGCATGCTATTGCAAACAGGACCCACAGCAGGAAGCAAAGAGCCACAGCTATAGATGTTGGTTTGGGCTTAATATAAGAGTTTGATTAATGAATTGGTTTATGACCTGATTAGTTTGGACTTCTGTTCAAGTGACATTTGACAGATATGCAGCTTTGGGCTCTTGTTAATGGATTGGATTGGTCATGGAATTGCTTGGTCAGCTTATAGGATCTTCTTGATCTTAAACACATTCATCCAAGTTGGCATCTAATCTTGTTACGGAATAGTGCATTTCCCTTCTATTGACCTTCGAATGATAAATTATACGTTTATCTTTTATATCCTTTTAGGATTGGCGTTACATGCTCTTACTTCCTGCATAGTGGAGTAAGATATTAGTGTTGAAAGTTATACTGTCGAAGCTGTAAGGCATTTAATTTGATAGTATTGGGCAATAGTTTGCAAGCTAAACGTGCTGTAGAGTTATATGGGAAATTTAAAACTGATGCCAATGCCACTGTCACTAAGCAAAACATATAAATGTGTGCTTCTGTGATTTTGTGACAAACTATCTGCATATTTATATTCTGCATCTCTTTGATCATTTATATTATTATTTTACTGATTTAGTTATGATGATTATTCAACTACACTTTATTTAATATACAGCAGTTATATGACTATTTGTAAAAGTCTATATTATTGTTGAAAAGAACCTGATATGCTTTAAATGTTATGTAACTCGTTATGTTGCGTTATGCAACCTGACATGCTTTAAATGTTACGTAACCTTATAACTCTATGTTATTACAATATAATATGTGTTACTTCAATATGATTTACATTATTTCAAGATAACATGCTAACTTAAGTTATTTCAATATGAGTTCTAGACAAGGGCAAATCTATCTACATGCCTGGGGGTAGAAATTTTCAAATTACCATGTACACCATTGTATTGTTTACAATTTGCGTTCCAAGAAATTTAAAAAATTGCCACCCCGACTTACCTAAAAATTAGTCCAGTGGAAAGTAAATAATAATAAATTTAAATTTAAATTTATTAAGAAAGTAAAAGCTCATTTAAATTTCCAACAACTAGGTTAAATGTACCGGAACACTAGAAATCCAAGACTACAACATTAGAAATCCAAAATTCCAAAACCAAAAAGTTAAAAAAATAATACTAAAATCCAAAACCCATTACACTTTTCTTGCACCCCCCCCCTCTCTCTCTCTCATTTCTTAATATTCTAGCAATCCTAATTTTGACTGAACCATAAGTTCGTCCTACGCTCAACTAGACCCTACTCGCACCCGCCGTTGTCCAGAGATCTGCACGGACCCATTGTTGCTGCCCATAATATCCTACACCTTGATCTCTTTTCTCTGACCATCCTCTCCTCAACTTCTCACCAAGTGTCTAGTGTTTTTTGTTTGGATAGTGTTTGTAAAGAGTTAATGTTCTACTCAATTAATAGTTCACACATTCCCATGTTTTCATCTATAAATTTTGGGCACAACTAAAAATTTTAATATATCAAGAATGCAATGCAATAAATTAGTTTTGTTTTCCAAATAGTTTATTCAATTTTACTAAAAATTTCAAACATATTAAAGTGTATTAAGTGCATTTCCATTGGGTACTATTGTTTTATAATATTATATTTTTATTTTTTAGATAAATAGATATTTGTTGCCCCCCAACATAAGAAAAATTTTATGGATCCGCCGGTGGTTCTAGAGACTTGAGGATATATCATTTCTTAAAACTTAAAGTAGTTAAGTAATTATGTTTGATCTATTTGTTAAGCCTTCACTTGTTTTGGTGACATCATTATATGATTATGAAATTATGAATAATAAAACGAATGTAATTATGAATGAGCTATAAATTTATGATTATATATTTGAGTATTCGATTATGACACTTCCTAGTAAATGTATACAACTTGTGATAAAATAAACAAGTTCTATTTACATATTTTTGTATTATGATGTTTTACTCCAAATTCTTAAAATTATTATGAACATCTTTTATATTTTTTTAACATTAAACAGTAAGAAAATATTCTGTTCCTAATTGTGACATTTATAACTATTAAAGTAATCATGAATAGTGTGTACTTATTGAATATGTAAATAACAAATAATCAAAATAACCTATGTTATAAGTTACGTTTTTTTGTGTTTTTTCTTTTACCCCTAATAGGAGGTAGAGTGTTACATTATGCGTTATTATTTTTCAACATTGGTTTATATCGGTCCTTGCTTGTTAGAAATATGTAAATGGTCTACATCATGTACATAATAAATGTTTTTTGGGTTCATTTTGAATAGACCCCTGTACTATCGGCTATAACCGATTCGCGGATAGATCCCCGTTAAGTTTTATCGGTACTAGTTTGCCCAAGCTTAGTGAACTTTTTCGACTCATTTAAGAATTAAAATTTTTTTAAAGCAATTGAGGGTCTATCCTTACCAATATAACTACAAGGGAATTCACTGTTTTAAAAAACCTCCGCCTAGTCCGCTTAGGCGTACGCCTAGACCTAGGCGATACCTAGGCCGCCTAACTAGCGCCTAGCGCCTAGGCGGTATTTAGGCTGCCCACCTAGATTTTACGAGTGTTTAGGGGAGTATTGTCTGCTTACGTAGATTGCACCCTGTAGGCCTTGATTGTGATTTTATGTGTCGTAGCCTACACGTCCTCCAAACTCCATTAACCTCCAAATATGAACATCTCCACTACCTCCTCCGACCTTCAGCAAAACCTCATCGACCACCACTTAAATGAAGAAAGAAAAAAACGCCCAGAAACCGCTTAGGCGCCCGCCTAGGCGACTAAGCGCTGGGCGCCAAGTCCGACGCCTAGAAGCGCCCAGCGTTTAATGTAACATTGCAAGGGATCTATCCGCTACCTCAAACTTTTTTGACTCCTTTAAGAGTGAAAAAACCTCAGCGGTGTATATTCGCAATCAAATAGAACTACAGGGGGTCTATCCTCGATTGGGCAAAGTATAGGGGGTCTGTTCACAATTAATTCATGTATTTTTTAAATATAATTTATGCATGCTTTATGGTGCATGAAACAGACTCTGAACTTGCAGTATCGGCACACAGTCATATCTACTGGGAGGAGCTTCCTTGTGGGATATACAGTGTTAATTTAAAAGCCTCAGGAGAAAATAACCTGTGTATAAAGGAAAAAATATTTGGCCAAGTTGTGAGGCATGGATGGGCTGATTCTCTACTGAACAGGCTTACTGAATGGGAGAGAACTAATGTTGAACCCAGTGCAGAAGAATTGTCTTTGCATAAGCTTTCATTTCGAAAGGTAAATAGGTAGCTACCTTATTTTCAAGTTGTTCTCAAAGGCTGTTTAATGCTATAGCTAACTTGGCACTTTTTGTTGACCAGACAGAACTTCAGTCAAAAGCAAAAGGGTATTTAATGGAGACTTGCAAACTATCAGGTTAAACACCTTAGATATACCATCTTTGAAAATAAAATTGTAATGATCAAGTCTCCATAAATTTTTTGTTCTTTTGCAGGTTGTATGCAGCCGGCTCAAAAGGTACTCTTTGCGCTAAAAGAATCTGTTCTGCGACGTACTGCTATAAACTCTGTTTTAGAGGTATGTACTTTGTAACCTTTCTCACTTTAATGTTAATGGTGCCTGCTGTTTAATTATCAGAAATTAGTAAAACTTGCAGATAGTGTAGTTGGTTTGCTGAAATTTTTGTTATGTCGGTGGTCCTACTTGATCCAAGTTTTGTGGCACAACTAACAATTTCATGCAGCCTTTTCATAAAATCATTGCTGCAAACAGGGTAATGCTCTTTTAAAGATTTAAGATTAGGAACAGCCTTAGTGGAAAGAAGGATAACTGCATATAACTCCCTCATCTTTATCTCCAGTAGCGCCTATCAGCCCCCAAGCCCCCAACTCATTTATTAGCACTTATCACCCTGGGGTCTGCCATTCGCTTGCCAGAACATTCCTCCTAAAGGCCAACTCAAGGGATGATAACTGCTTATAAATAAGTTGAAGGCTGATGGTGCTACTGAAGATCTAGATGATGTGGTTATATAAAGTTTACTTGGAAAAAAATGGGAAGAAAGTAAGACAGAAAGGAAAATGATCCCTAAATAAAATAATTACTGCGAAATGATTTGGTTACATGGTTATGTTCCTCTTGGTTTTTGTCTGGAAACTCAATCTGTTCATCAAGAAAAGTGCAAGATTGGCATTATTTGTGAAATGAGAATATGTATACTCCTCTCTGTTCCATTTGCATTTCGCGATTTACAGGTTCCCACTCTACTTCGTTTGTGCTATGATCTCTCAGACATGTAGGATTAAACATGCTGGAATTGGGAAGTCATTGAAGTGGTATATTTTGATGAGATGCATTTTCTAAAATCAGATACCTTTTAAAAATTCATATATAAACGGTAAGCTAAGAAAATAATAACCTTCACATAGTAGATGTGTTATTTGCAAACATGATGTGCTTAAATGAAAAATATTCAAACCAACACCAAGATTATAAAGCTTTACCTCTATATTATAAAATTGGGAAAAGGAGGGTTGGTGTATCACGCACTAACTCCTTGCTGGTGGGTGATGATGCGTCAAGCATTTGGACCCCAACTTACAATCTAAATATATTATACTTTGCAAAAAAGTCCATTTCAAGAAAATACTGTACCCCTACTTAAACCCGTTCATCTTCCTCCACATCCTCTCTGTCCAAGCCTAAAAACTCCAAATCGTCCTCCCCTCCTGAACTCAACTGTCTCTCTATCTTGTATCCTCACACTTCCACTACAGAGTCTCCCTCAGCCCTCCCTCATTTGTGAAATGGGATTAAACTTTGTTGATAATAGTGTATTGTAGTGGGTTTTAGTCCCACATTGGTTGTGAGAACACACCTCACCCTCCTCTACTTGTACAAATATATGTGTACACTCAATATTCAACTCAAGAAAAATTTACCCAAAACTCTCTCTTACTTTATCATCATGGTATCATAGCTAGGGTTACTATTTTCCTTTCAATAAAATTTATTTTTTAACGCTTATGTGTTCTTTTGCCAAAATCTTGGCCTTGCTGTTTTACAGTCGTTTTAACGTTTTTTTGCGTTCCTCTGCTAGATTTTTGGTCTTGTCGCTTTGCGGCCTCTTAACGTATTTCACGTTATCGTTTAACCTTCGGGTTCTATTTTAATCTTCGGGGTTATATTTTAAACCTTCGGGTTTTATTCTAACATTCGGGCTCTATTATAAAGATTCGGGTTCTATTTTAACGGCATTGCCGTTTTAAGACCGTCTCTCGGTCTCAAATTAACGGCATCGTCGTTTCAAATCGTCTCTCGGTCTCAAACGAACGGTATTGTCGTTTCGCAGTCAGTCACGGCATCGCCGTTTCAATCCATCTCGACGTCTTAACGTCTCAACATCCGCGTTGTTCCGTTGTAGGTCTTAACGTCTCGACATTGTAATTATGGCTCCTTCAAAGAAGATTCCCAAATCACATTTGCCCCTCAATGATCAAAGTGACTGGGCAATATAGTCCACCATTGTCACCAATGTCTTGCGTGGCGCTGGTTTGTTTGATCATCTCATCAGTACGGGACTAGTTCTATCGTCCATCAACACTGTTGCTTCATCCAGTACTATTACATTTGACAGTGATGATGTCGATCTTCAGATCGCTCGTGCTTTCTATGTCAAGGAGCGTTTTACCGAGTGCTCTGGTGCACGAGAAACATAACTTCTGCAACACATTGCTCTACAACGTAAATGTAGTTCCTCTCTGCAGTCTCATTTTGGACAAATACAAGCTTTTTGGACAGAATTACGCTCCATGCTTCCTGAACGTAATTCCACATATGAAGACTGGCTAGCCTGGTATGACGGCGTGAGGTTCATTAACTTTTTCAGTCCCTTCCTAAACATTCAACTATGGCTGATCAACTACTTCATCAGTCTCAATTTTCGACTTTGGCCTCAGTTATAGGATCTCTCACTGCTTATGAGACCCGACAGCAGACAACACGACTCAATTTGTTAATAGACACTCCTACCTCTTCATCCGAGACTGTTCTGTCTGTACCTGTTACTGCTCCTGTTATGAATCATACTTTTCTATAGGCTCCCTCTCCACAGGTTCGATCTAAGTTTTTTTGTAAATATTACAAGAAGGAAGGACTCCGCATTGAGACATGCTTCAAGCTTCATCCTAAGTTACGTTCCTCAAGTACTAGCCGTGATCGGCGACCCCCTCAGTCTCAACCCTCTCGTACATCAGGATTGTTGGCCAATGCTATACCTTTTACTACTTCAGACTACTATTCAAGCTATTGAAAGTCTTCGCCGTCAACTTAATGCTTTTCAGCATATCACCTCTACATCCGCCGCACAACTCTCTGGTATGCATTTTGTTGGTTCTTCAGTTAATCCTTCGGTGTCTGGTATGAATGATCTCTGGATTTTTAACTCTGCCTGTTCCTTTTATATGACTTGTAATGCCTCACTTTTATCCTCTGTCTTCACTTCATCTTCTTTTTCCCCTATATACACAGCTGCTGGACAACCATTGTTCGTCACTCAGTATTGCTCTATTATCCCACAAAATGATCCATCTGGTCGTCTAACACTTAGTCCCGTCTATGTGGCTCCTCAACTGTGCTTGAATTTAATTTCTATTAGCTCTTTATGTATGACTAGTCTGCTTGTCTCATTTTTTTCTGATACTTATCTTGTGCAGGATCCATAGACGGGCAAGACGATTGGGGCGGGTCGTAGGAGGCACAAGCTGTATTTTCTGGAATATTTTCACCTTTCAGAGTCCATACGTCCACGTTCTCTTGTTGTTTCTGTTTATTCGTCAAAATCCTCTACCTCGCTTCCTACCAATTTGTGGTATAGACGACTTGGTCGTGTGTCTAATAAAATACTGGTCATGTATCATCTAGTTCTAATATTAAGTCATGTACTAGTTGTAAATTAGCTAAATTCACTGTTTTACCATTTAAAATGAGTATATCTAAGCACTGTTATAAATAACGGTAAATAGCCCCGCAATAGCGACGTTAATAGCGTTAGCGGTCCCTTCCCGCTACGTTATCGCCCGCTACACTATCGCGTAATAGCGATGAAATATTACGGAATATGTCTATTCGTAAAAATGATCAATAGTGTGTCATAATAGTAAATAGTAAGTGACTGCATTCGAAATTTGCTTTTTGATTGCTATTTAAAAGCGGTTTGAGGCTTATTTTTTTAAAAATTAAACTCAACCATTGATCATTACATTCCACCATCTCCTGTGATTTTTAGCATACTCCTGTCACCTCTCATAGCCTCTGACACCTACATTGATACTTTCTCTCACCTCCTTCACCGTGAGCTCCTCTTAGGACAGTCCTGTCACCGCTAAGCTCTTCTTCTCGAAGACGATTTTTTGACTCCTCCAGTCATCTTCGGTATTACGTTATGGTTATATGTCTATTGTCTCTTTAAATTATCCAATATGTACTTTTATATTTCTTAGATTTTTCTTTAATTTTTCTTTTTTAGTATTTATACATATCTAAATTAGACCGTTATTTAACTTTACGTTTTTACCGTTATTTTATCACAATATCCGAAATAGCCTTAACGATGCCTCACCGCTACGCGACGCTATCCGCTATCGATAACCTTGCATCTAAATCTACTTCTTTATTTGATTTAGTGCATTCTGATATTTGGGGGCCAGCTCCTCTGCCCTATTCATCTGGCTACTTATATTATGTTAGTTTTATCGACGATTTCTCTCGTTTTACATGGGTTTACCTACTTAAGAATCGCTCTGACGTACTTACTGCTTATCAAGCTTTCACTGTTATGATCTTCACTCAATGACAATCTCGTATTAAAGTTTTTCGTTCTGACTATGCCAAAGAATACCTATTCTCTACCATGCACTCTATCATGTCCTCTCATAGGACTATCTTTCAACAGTCATGTTCCTACATTCATGAGCAAAATGATATTGCTGAACGCAAACATCGTCATATCCTCGATACCGTTCGATCTATGCACATTTCTTACTTTGTTCCTCGTCGTTTTTGGGCTGAGGCCATTCTCACTGCTACTCATGTCATTAATATCACTCTATCTAGCTTTTTTTTCGGTGCTACTCCTTATAGGCGTGTTTATACTCATCCTCCTCGTTATGACCCGGTCCACGTTTTTTGTTGTCGTTATTTTGTTTTTCTGTCATCTCATCAACGTGATAAATTGTCTCCCAGAGCTGTTTCTTGTGTCTATTTAGGAATTAGTTCGGAACATCGAGGTTATCGTTGTTATGATCCTGCAACTCGTCAAGTTCATATATCTCGTCACGTTCAGTTCGAAGAGGATTCTCCATATTATTCTGCTTCTGATGAATTTAATTTCCTCCATTCTTCTGATCATGCTTGCCCATCAGCTGCATCACCCACTTCTTCACCTTAGTTTTCCTTTCGAGATCTTCCTGACATCTCTCCATCTCCTTCTGTTGGCTCTTCCTCATCTGAGCCTTCTCTTACACCATTTGATCCTTATCCAGTGGACACAACTCTCACTCCTGAACATACTGTTGATG